AAACGAGAGATTCAGCTGGGTTCCAGGTGAGTCTCTCGAAAGAACCAAATTAGTTTGCAGATGAGTGTATATTCGTTAATTTCGTGCAATTTGGTTTCAAGTAGAACATAAGGTTGACGGAAACCCGGAGACTGTGCCTACCTGATGAGCCCCAAGAAGGGCGAAACCGGTCGTGGGCTGTCGATGGATTCTCAGCAACCTTATGAGTAATACATTACAAAGATCTCATATGTTTTAAAAACTTCAAGGAGGGGCAGAAAACTATGTTTGTCAGACCTCTAAACGTTGAGCAACCAAGTACAGCAACCCTTGCGGGTGTTCAGTCGACAGCCCACAATATGGCATATTTGATTGCTGAGGTTCGCGAATCATCTTTATGTGAATTTACACAGGGAATCGGTAAGCTTCATTACTTAAAATACGGTATTTCGTTCACCTGGACCTAAGGCGATTGAGGAACGTTTTCATATTACATTGAATCTATTGAACCATAAGATATTGTATTCTGTTCGATACAGCTGGAAGAACCGTGAAAATAGAAATCAGTCATATCGGTGGTGATACCCTGGTGATTGACTTCCTGGAAAACATTTCCATCACGAAACCGATTGTTCTGCTAGATTGGACATGCATTCTTCGTGACATGTGCCTAAAAGTACAACGAAACACATAGGACATTCCGCCCAAGTGTTCATTTTCCTGTGCTCTTATTAAAAGTAATGAGACTAGGTGAGTTGACCAAAAACGTAATCTTGTCTTTACTCAGTAATAGCGAAACCAAACACCACAAGTCTGACACAGTTCTATGATAATCTTGTTCATCATCCAAAAGAGCCTACTGTTGTGACAGTTAGTCAGTAACGCATCACAATGGTGCTATGGCCTATTTATTATTATTTCTTACTGACATGGTGCTAAAACGAGTGAAAATAGTCAACCAACTTGCCTATATTTATATTTGTTCTACTTGGGGTTCCTCAATGGAAGACTGAAAAGTACGAGAAGAGTGCATAAAGGGAGCCATATTGTACTGAGCGCCATCCTTTTTGTACAAGTTTGAGTATTCCCTAAAAGGAGTTTGGGAACTGCACCGTTCAAATTTCACTTCATTCCACTTTGGCACACACAGAGCATATATACATTCACGGCCACGACGGCATGTGCAAGCAAACTTGGTAAAGGTAGCATCGGAAATGTGGGGAACAGAATCAAGAGTTACAAAAAATGGCAAAGACTTCGAATAAGATAAGGGATAAAGGTTGGGCAAAACCATCTTATCACGCAGTGCTTCCAATAACTCAAGTTCGCAAAAGATGTGTAACAGAGCGGTTATGACCCGTTGTGAAAGTGGTCGTCGGTTTATTAGCCGAGCTGGCAAATTTGATTGTACAAGTTTCATCGTTACGCACCACTACGCTCCCGAATAACGCACTGAAGATGTCAACTCGATTGGTGATGAAACGTTTGCAATCAAATTGCCCAGCTCAGCGAATAAGCCAACGACCATCTACGCTACCCGAGCTACCAACATTATTTTTTATGACCTTGTGAAAGATTACATATATCTCCCGCGTACGCGTTGCTAGTCTTGTAGTACACTGAAGTTGCTTCAGTAAACGGAAAAAGATGTGGTAATCAATTAATAGATGTGGGGGAAATAAAAAAAATAGACGTAATGAATGCAACCGAATCAGATCACCAGGTGAAAGACGTTGGTTTATTACCAAAAACGATTAAGAGTGCATTCATTCGTCATTCTAATGTTTGAATGGTGTTCATAGGGGTCACAGGCAGGCATATTGTATTTTCTGTACAGTGGTCAATGTTTACAACCATAAGGCGATAAAGGATGCAAGTTTATGGGTGACGGAGACTGGACTGCTGCCGTGGTGATTCCCACAAACCGGTGGGGGTGCGCGTTCTCTCCATTCTTGTTCGAATTTGTTGCTGACGCGGTAGCGTGACGGGCGCGACCGCTGATCAACCGGCCTCCGGCGAAGAATTTGCCGATCTGGAGTTCACAAGCATTAGTAACCTGAAAAGGGAGGAACACGAGCGTTTTCAAAGTTTTAGGGGGGTTATTCCATCTCCCAGCGTGTGCTATGCATCCACGGTATGTAAGTTATGCTCCAATACATAAGACCTGGAGAACGGATGTCTTTGAGTGACTTACATACCTCAGCTGTATTGATGACGCGAAGGATCAGGTCAGAACGCGAATTTCAGAGTCCACAATCGCGCCAGCCGGGTTCGTACACTTGCTGTGATAAAAAATGTAACATCAGGTTAGAGGCCTTGTATATCAGACTAGAGTGCGAGTTAAGTAGAATGGTTTTAAGACACTGCTTCTGCAACTGGAGCATCTTACAGATGTCCTGGTTGGTTCCATCATATTTGAGGCTGGCTGAATAGTAAAGGGGATAAAATGATATGGCAAGCTCTTTACCTATGGACTACATCCAGCGTCTCGACGATGAATTTTGCGTACCGAGCTACGGCGTACCTAAAAATGTTCTGCTCTTCACGCCAAAGTAAGACTTTTGTAAGCCAAAGGTAGGAAACTTGTGATTTAAGAGGATTTACTGGAGGTTTCAAGGTGTCCAATCGTTCTGGATTCTACCAGATCTTCATGAATGGGTCCGCCATATCTGTTCCCATATTTTGCTGTAGGTGTTGATGTATGTGAACAGAAACTTATGCCAATAGCATTCGCATTACCAATTTCCAACAAGATTGTCGAAATGAATGCTGAGGGGGTCAGTGCCTCACATCTCTCTGTCAAGACCGCTGCTTTCACTTTCCAGTTCTACTTTTTCAAACAAATGGAAATGCTGGTATGTCACCGGCAGTACAACATTAGCTTTGCTGTCAAAGACTACCATTTCAGAACTGATCCCTTTTAAGAGACGAGGTCGAAAGTGGGTGCCAGATTTTCCTTCGTTATTTTTTCCGCCTTCCGAATGTCCCTAAGGCGAGAAAGCCTAACTCAATCTTTAGAAAGTTAAGGCCAAACTTCTGGATCGAAGCTTATCTCGTCTTCCTTTTGTTCTCTCGTTTCGGCACCCGCTGAAATCAGTTATTAGCTCACCGTAAGCAACCGGAGAATCTGATCGATATGAGTGGTACTGCAAAACAATCAACGCAAGCAACCAAAATGGGCGATAAGACTTGAAATGGATTTCATAGTCTTCCTTTCATACACCGAAAAAGGGTCGAAGAGTTATATGGAACTTTCAGCTGTTGTCGAAGTCACCGTTTTTTCCGCTTTGTGGACAACCCGTAGCCAGCGGATAAAAGAATCGGCTCTGAGGATTCAAGTCAAGCTCCGGAAATCCTACTGTAGATCGGAATCTTTTGCGTTGTCCGCTCCAGTCCAGGACTACGATTGCTAGATGGTTCGTTCTGAAGTAGGCCTCGGGTTTATTTAGTGCTTTATAGATTAGAATGTCTTTCGGTAGTTTGAATTGCGAGTAAGTCTTCAATAGGTCGATTTGTTCTATTCACGATCTGGAATTGTCCAGACAGCCTGTCAATCTTACCAAGTGAATTTTACGAGCGAGCAATATCATTCTAATATACGGTTTGCTTTAGACTTCAAAAAGTTAGTAAATAAAGACAGGAGCCAGGGATGGATTTGTGCCAAAGTATGCCCACAATTACGGACCAACACCGATAAGTTACTTTTTGTCTCCGAAGTTAAAACTAATTTGGTTATTGTTAACAAGACGCCAGATAACTGGATCCTTTCACATGCATCATCATCATCGACAACATGAAATAAGTGTTCAAAACCAATGCTTTCAAAACTAATGCTCCTCTGCCATACAAGTATGATTTATTTGATAGCCTTATTGTGAAGAAAAGAATAAAAGTGGACGGGGAATGGACTTAGTGCTAGCTTACTACAAACATTCCGAGGTGCCTACACCTCCAAACGCTCATTCAGGCAATCTGGATAGAAACTAACAGCAAGATCGCCACTGGCATCCGTTGCCAACCATATCTTGCAGTGTCTCCAACCAGGCGCAGTGGGGATAACGTGGTCCCCGTTCTGGAAGGTGAGTAACACCGACAGCAACCAAACATTTCTTAATCTCTTTCATAAAGGAAACTACTCACAAGGTTACTGAAAACTCTTCGACAGCCCACGACCGGTTTCACCCTTCTTGGAGCTCCTCAGGTGGGCGCAGTCCCTGAGTTTCCGTCAATCTTACGTTCTACTTTAACCCAAATTGGACTGTTTTCGAGAAACAAACTCATTTGCAAATCAGAAGGGCGAAACCGGTCGTGGGCTGTCAAAGAGTTTTCAGCAACCTTGCAAGTAGTTTCCTTTATGAAAGTAAACTGCGATCTCTCGAATATCGTGTCAAGTGAATCACGAGGCAGCCTGTGTGCATCACATTCAGTTGTATAATACCGTAAACGAGAGATTCAGTTGAGTCTCTCGTGAAAACCAAATTGATTCGCAAATGAGTGTATTTCTTAGCCTCCTTTATACTCCTCTGCCAGGTCAAGTGTTGGCCGCCTCTCTGGGTTGGGAATGTAAAACGGCACTCTTTTCGGAAAAATATGCACCTAGACTAAACAAACGACTATCTTCACCTAATTTTTGTGATTCCGAGGGCCGACTACACCAAGTCTGCTATAAAGATTATCTTCAGCGTACTCATCCCTCAAACTAGCCAAGCAGAAGATGAACATTACTTCTTTCTGACAACCATCGGAGTCAGCAGAACGTTTCTTAGGGAGTAGATGATTAGGACATACGTCGCCACAACGAACATGTGTCGTTCTGAAGGAACACCACTTATGCGGTGATGAACAAACACTCTTTGACAACTCACTATCGGTTTCGTTTTTATTAGGGCTCATCAAGCAAGTGTGACGTCCAAAGTTCCGCCAACCTTACTTCTTACTTGAACAACATGTTGAACACAGGTGCACTTATCCACTCATTTGCAGACTTACGCGTTGTTAACAGAAAGCGTTTCATATTCTTTCGTGGTTGGTCACTATTCCCCAGAGTACAACCAGTTAGAGCACTTCTGCTCTCGTAACCAACGCAATACTGACATCAATCAGGTCATGCGGTACCGTTTTGCTGGGTAAAATAAAAGGGAACCGAGTCAGTCGAGGGCGTGTTCAGAAGCACTACTGCGGCATTACTGCATACCGTTTTAAAAGACAACAGATATCAGTCGTTAATGAAAAAGAAATATAATGAGGTGACGCTTTCTGGTGTATCTGATACAAAGTGAGGATATTATTCACAGCTACTTTGAACAAATTCCATGACGTCGGCAGATAATACATAGTTTGAATCGGAAGTCCGACTCGGTATACTGTGGGTAAGCTGAGATTCTATACAAAAATCCCGACCGCATCCTTAACCAATGGTCAAAACTGCGAGGCAGTGAGGGTCACGGTCTATCTTGAGGATCCTGTCTGCTGAACAGCTGGGTAGTGGAGGCCGGTATATACCGAATTTGAAAGCAGTGAGACATACATCATTGACCCGTAATGCTGCACGCATAGCATACGCGCTTCGGGCCATAGGGCCAGGCTCATCCGTTACACACCCGTGCTGGGCAACTTACTGTTGGCATGGTCAACTACTGGGCGATCATAGTGTGCTACGTTCAGGTCATTCTTTTTCAGAGAATACAACAGCTCTGCCTCTCAAACTATCAAAATTTTGACCAATGCCTCAACAATCCTATGTCGTAAAGACTTAAGATGCCTTCGAACCATCTTGACGTACGACCACATTAAGCTGACGCGCCTAAATTTGTCTGCCCACACCTTTGTCTGGAGTACTTGCGCGTTGAGGATAAAAGTGTCATTCAGGAGTTCAGGAAATTATAGGAGCATTCACTCCTCGCTACCATGGTAGCGCTTGATTAGAGCACATCAACATGTGTAAGCTGGAATGCAGTGAGTGCCATTGGATTGTGCTTCCAAAGCGTGGGACACAACAATACAAGTTTGGACAGAGTTCAGCCTTATCAAATGAGTAAATAGATTATCGACAAATAAATCACTTCCCAAGACTAAAGATTATGATACAAAAATATTGCGTAAGTCAATCTGAGCACTTGCCACCGTAAGAAGGCTGCACATCTCCTAAACTATCTTACAAAACAAATTACTTTAGGGTCGATAAAAGGCCGGAACGCCTGACATTGTCAGAACACCTCATAATAGAAATGGTTACAGAAAAACCAACCAACTGTCATACGCTTAGATCAAATGTTTAGACACTTTTTTATCCAGACCACCACTTCTAACACCTCGTCTTGTTCGCCATAATGAGGGGGCAACAGCGCTTTGCTAACATTATTCGTTTAAAAGACAACGAATACTCGAGGGTCACCGTGTCCTCTCCGTAACATATTGCCCGTTTGCAAGCCTGTGTGGCATACAGATGGCTAGTGTCCAACACCGAGTTACCCGTCAATCGTCTTTGGACCACCGGATGTCTGAACATCGTTGCGACAATCGGCTTCAACGAAACCAGATGTGCCTGTACTTGTAAGCCTGTGAATCCTACTGTCCGTTTCTGCTAGTTTCCGTGAATGTACGAGCTGATTAGCTTGATAAGTCTACTAAGGTTGATACGTTTGTCGCCAGCTAGGCCGACACTCGATCTTGTCAAGTTGTGACGGTTTATTTGCTCCCGTAGTACGCTGAACTCCACTGGCGGTTGGTCGTGTGACACGCACATAGTCACGTCGGCCAGCACATAGAGGTCAGACTGACAGTCCCTTAACTCTGTAGTTTGAGAGTTTGGATACATGTGGTGAGTTTTTCCTGAGTTTCATCACCTTGACTGTCTTCCTCCAAGCACGGCTGACTACACCGCGGACGGAGTGCTGGGTTTTCGTCATCCCACCTGACATCTTGATTCGGACACAACCAACAAATGTACAAGTGCCAATAGTTTTGTGTCAAATTAGTCGTCTCCATACCTCGTATTCATGAGCTTTCACCAGGCAGCTCCGTTCACGGTCACATTTCCCCGAGGTCAGAAGCAGATGTTTTCTAAAATCTCCAGTTCTTAGTTGTTTGGGAGTGTGATCTGATGTTATGGGTTCGAGGGACCGGAACGGTGTGGATGTTTGTTGATTCTGGGATGAAACGAGATACTAAAGGCGTGGATGCCGTTGCTAGATGATGAAATTCCACTTTAGGATGTGCACATACTCCAATAAAAATTAGCATCAGGATCTTTTAGTCATAAGGTGGTCAAGTCGATAGGAATGAATTTAAATTGAATGAATGACCACCAAGGAGGAACTGTGTGGCCACATTTTCGAAAGATTCTAACGTACTTTCATGGATTCGGACGAAGTAATCCTGTTCGACTTTCGACTACCGGTTCTAAGGGGTAGATCAGAGTCAATGAGCTCATGCCAGGCCCCAATGTCTCCAAACAGCTTTGGGTCCAGGGCATTTTCTCAGTTACGCACCAGTATATACATCTGACGCACTGGCGTCGGCGACGATGATACGGACCGAGTAACTCTTTACGAACTCTACTTCAAACCGACCTTAATTCACCTAACAACCCACGCAAGCGTTCAATGAAGTTGGTTCTTGCAATTAGAACACCTTCGGCAGACGAGTTTGACGGCGGCTTGATGCCATGATATCTATTCCGAGGAAAACAACAGCGTTGTTTCCGCGAACTTACACCTTTCATGTGAATTTCCTCATCGCAGTTACTCACAACACATGAGCTCTTATTGCGATCATAACCGGTCGGCTGGATTCGATTCCGAGGGTCACTTGTCCAGGAGCTCCTGAAGTCCCGTCGCATTTGTCGAAAGTGTGAACATCAATTAGCATCACTGCTAAAAGCATTTCGCAAGATGCCGCATGAACAACTTCCTCCCATGGAGCCAGAACGACGTTATCTTCGAATCCATGATTCACCAACTGAACCAACAACTTCAAAGCCACTTGAACGTGAATTACTATACGGCACGCGCCGGTATGACACAGGAATTTTACACGGCGTACTTAATATTAACGTCTGAAAACAGAATCACAATCCCCGAGCCCTTTTCCGGAAACTAGAAGCCACTTATTCAGTCGGTCACCAGTGTATGAAAAGTGTTGGTAGTAAAGAGGTTGTAGCGCTCAGCAGTCAGTTTAATTTGATGTCAGAACATCAGTTCTGATGTGACGGCAACGTCAAGCCTAACGTAACCGGAAACATTTAAGAAATCACAGCCATCTCTCACAGCATCCTCACACAAGTGTAGAGCCCGTTTGAGATGGCAAATGAAACGGACAATATATTTTTTTCTAACGGATTTCGAAACTTCTGCTAAGTCAAACGTTATTCGCCAGCTTAGCATGCACTTGACCTGACGAAGATGCAGGAGCTGATGATGATTCTGCATAGTCATAAGCATTTTCTGAAAACCATACTGGCGCAAAATCCTACCAGACAGTAGTGTACATCAAGCTGACATCCAAATGTAACCCTTGTGGCAATATCCTTCTAACATTTTATCTTGCCATTTTAGAATGTCAAAGAAAGTTGGACCAAAAAAGAAGGGACGTGGCTCAAAATCCAAAAGTGATCCAACTGAAGAAGCCTTAGAAAAGGCACAGAAAGATGTTCGAGCTTTTCGTGATCAACTCAGTCGCACTGTACTTCTGGCGGAAACTGCGGAAAGCCGCCGGCAGACAGCGATTCAGGAGAAAATCAAAACGGCGAAAGAGTTGGAGGAAGTCAGACACACAACGCAACAACACACGGCGTTCATGGTAACGCAAAATGAAATGATCGTCAGCAGTTTGAATAACAAGATAGAGAAACTGGAAGAGTCTTTGCAAAAGTTAAATGAGATGGTGAAGGAGAAAGACGATGCTTTGGAGCAGCTCAAGTTGGAGTTTTCCGAGACTCTAACTGAACGGGATTTGAAAATCGATCGGCTAAAGATGCAACTGAGTACACTGGGGGTGATGTGTGAGGACGCGATGTTACAGGCTGTTGAAAAGCTGACAAACAAGCTTTCGGAGGACTATCAACTGATTCATAATAACTATATGCCTTGGTCACAAAAGACTCTGGAGAAAATAGAGCTGGAGTTCTTGAACCCACCATTCTTGGATGCCCAATCGACAGAATACTACTGAGCTGGACAGCTTGAGACATTTTCTATCATTTTGTACACTTGAGGCCCGTCGTATTTCCCTTTGATTGATTTTCATCGCTATGTTTGGTCCACTTCTTGTCCTGTTTGGGACCTCGAATCCCAAATAAGAAAACCGTCTTGCTGGACAACTCATCGTCGAATTCCTAGACAGCGGCAATGGCATTGTTGACACTGACACCTCACTGCCATAGAACAAACTACTTTAAAGAGCTCTACGCTAAAAATGTGAACTCAATGGACAGGGAAGGAACCCAGCACTGTCCTATCAGTCATCGTGGTATGTACGTGTCGGACTAAACCAGTGAGATAACAGTATAAACTACCATCACAACCGCAAGGAAAAGTGAGGATTAAAATAAAGGAACTGGGATTCGAAAACCAACTCCCCCACACGGCCTATTTGTCACAAGACTTGGGGTTGTGGCCTCAGTACCGGGTCGAATAGTAGTGATCACAACTGTCATGGGCAAGGAAACTCCTAGCACCCCAGTTCCGGTTAGCTATTGCATTCTTTTTACAATCGTCATTCTACTGGACTAAGCACTCTCCATCACTCTTTGCCAGGATGGTGGATGGCGAAGGATGATAAACTGTTTGTGTGCTGATCCACATAGTGCACGTGAAGTGTGCTTCCGAGAAAGGCACCAAATAGGCCGGGTCTAACTTTAGCTGCATTAAATAAAAAATGAATCGTTCAGCTGTAATACCCTTCCAGTGCCTAGCCACCATGCTCGCCGAAGGAAGCACGAGGGATGGGATACTGCCAAGTTGCCCAAGCTTAGACAGCAGAAGTCGAGAGGAAGAGGTCGGGTTCAAACCACGGGCCTTCCGGTCAGTAAATTCGCGCTCTAACCACTTCAGCTATCTCAGTTGTATTATGAAAGACTGTTTCCCGAGAGATGTGCTTTCAAGTGTGCTAAGCAGCCTAGTTACTTAGGGTGAAAAGCATATTGTACGCACACGCCGTCCTGTGCTCAAAACTAGGACAATAACGAAAACCGGTGAAAAAGCGCCAATCAGGGTGACAATAATCCGGTCAAACTGATGGGGGAGCACAGTTCGCAGTAGGGAATCCACAGTAAAATCACTAGCGACAGGAATCACCCACACTATACATCTGACGCTGCGGGTCACCTGGACATGCAAAGAAATGACCAAAGTATGGTCAACATCCAATACTACTCATAAGTTCGGTGAAAATTCTGGACAGCACCTATGAGTAGAACAGAAACAGACCTCGAAACCTAGAATATGGTGTCAACTAAAGCACGGGACGGCGACTGTACACCACTTTCAGCTAGATACCAATTAGACATAAGTATCAGTGTAGTTTCCAGATGAATGTTCACCCCGGCATATTTTGAGTGATGCATGCAAATGTATCATGATGGGGAACCTGAACTGAGCCATGGTAAAAGTAACTCAATGTTCAGGCGGCTTCCGGATGCCATCCTACTAAGTACTACATAAGACTGCCCTAAAGTGTGCAGCGTACTTCAGGCGTAGGGATCATTGTCAGAACATCAGTGAAAGAGAATAGCGACCAAATATTCATATTTTCTTCTAGAAGTTATAAACCATGATTGAGAAATGGGACTCGAAGTCTTCTCCGACTGACTTATAGACCCAACGATGGCGTAAGGTGCGTAGAAATTAACCAGGAACTAGATTTTGATTCCCCCCCCCCCCCCTCCCCGATTGGACCCCAGGAATCCGAAAGTATCTCAACATCTGTACTTTCCTCGAGCCGCGTGACATCCAAGCACCGGGAAGATATCATGGCCTACAAAGTTTTTCATTCGCAGCGCAATTCATCGATCTGCTAGGGCTAAAATAGGATAAATATGCCATAAACGCTGAATACTAAAGACCCGCATTCGCACAATAGGTTGCAAGACATTGTGTTAAAAATACAGAATGTAATCCTAACCGTAAACATCGAACACCGACCGGCACAATCAGGAGGTAAAAAGTAGTACATGTACATTACTAATCAGAGCAGACAATATTCTTTGGGTGATTTGAAATGCAGGTGAGACAAGGTTTATAAAAAGTGGTCTTATCCTATAAGAAACATCACAACGGTAAAATCCCAAGCAAATCGGTTAAAACGGTGAGATGAGGTCTCACTGTTGACGTTTCATATCCATCCCACTACACGTCATTTGGATACCATGTGCGTCGTTCCGAGGCTGGAAAAAAAGGAAAAAATAACAATAGACGTAATGCACTACGCATAAGGTTGCTGGAAACTCCTCGACAGCCCGCGACCCGTTTCGTCCTTCTTTGGGCTCATCAGGTAGGAGCGGTTTGCAAGTTTCCGTTAACTGTCATCCACAACAATAGTACAAGTAGAAGGTTCGTAGTAGACTGTTTCTGTTGGATAATGAAGTCTATAATCATCTAATACATACAAATCTCTGTAGCAGCAACGAAACAGGGAAATTTGCCACAGATTTATCGAGGCCAGTTTGATGGTAAAGCACTCCAAACTGAGCAGCGGCTTTTGGAACTGCAAACTGAGTGGTGATGGATTGCAAGTTATCTATGCCTGAACAACTAGTGCTGGCCACTCTTCCCACTATCCTGTAAAACTAGGACCGCACGGGATGTTACTGCTACACAGCCTACAGGTGGAGTGCCACTGGGTTCAGATTGTGTTGCGATAAATGATAACAAGGCGAAATCGAAAAATCGGCCAATCCTGATACGTTCACCTGATCAGACCCAATCAGGGATGCGCAGCGAGTTGATTCTCGGTATTAAAAAACACCTTCAAAATCTAAATTATGAGGACTTCAAGTGGATGGGAATAGTGTATTGACACAATAAAACATGGGTTTTAGTTGTACTATGCAAACGATGAGGGGAAAGTGAGCAACGATCTACTGATAGTGAACGGATGAGATGTCCACAAATTGTTCGCAAGCGAGGTGAGCAATTTTGATGACGGTTTCTGATGACCATTCTGAATCTTAGATTGGATTTAGCTCTCCCCTGCCACATTGACTGCCGTTCATTTGACGACCAACGTTTTCGTTCTTCAATTTGACATGCAACCCGTTTCTATATTACTTATACGATTCCTGCCACGTGGACAATAATGCTTGAATTAAAATATTTTTGTGAGATGAAGAGGCGAAACTTAGATAATACGGATGTATCTCCAAACAGTGGAAACGTGAATTCATATATGAGAGCACAGTACGCACTGTTTGAAAAAACCGAATTCGACATCATATGAAAACATCGATAGACTAATTGCTCTTTAGGACTATTTCCTTCACACAACTGTGCTGAGGGCTAATCACCCTCCGTGGTATGATCACCACCCTGGTTCAGTTAGGCTACTTCGGGATTGTAATGGAGTATTATACTGCATTGTATTGAAAGAACATTGAACTGGTTTATCTCTCATCACATGATTTTGCTGCGAAACAGGGGGGAGGGTGTTAGAGAGGCCGTGCTGTATGATAAACTGACTATCTGGGTGGATTCCTCAACTCGACCTTACGTTGGCGAAGCAGGGCGCCATTAGGTCACTGTAGTCATAATTAATGAACGACGTTTGATGAACACGTGATCCACGTGCGTTTAACACCTCACGCTAAGCTTGGATTTGTTAATTTTTTTGCATCTTTCAAAGAAATGGTACTAATCTGAAATTTACTCAGTTTGTGACAGAAAGATGAAAAGGTGTGGTCACTGAGACGTCAGGAACCCCAAATGATCGTTCGGGTATCCACATATTCGAAATATTCTTTGCTGTCCATCACCTATGTAAAACAACCGGGGAAAAATCATCGGAGAAGGTTGTTGGTACCAACTGGTCCATGTGAACCGTAAATAAACAGTAAAGAACCATATATGGTGAAATAAGGTAACTATAAAGACGGATCTAACCTGGAAATACGACGTGTCCGTTGAATCGTCTGGATTGGGAACAAATGGCATTTCTAATTCGTTCAAACGATTCCAATCCCCAACCGGTCTGAGGAAATCACAGCAGCGCAGCTGTTTGGCCATGAGGAGACGCTGGGAGGGGGACCGCGATAAAAGGCCGGAAATTAGTTGAACCGCCGCTTGTGACAACTCTTCAGACGGAGGCTCATCGTTTGTGGATGGCCATGGAATATCTGGAAGAAGCGGAGGAAAGCTAACGTGGTGCGCGGAAACGTAGACGAAAGCAGGTTCATGAGATGTGGAAACACGTGCTGGGTGTTCCGTAAGAGGTGCAATTCCCACGGAAATCCAACTGCTATCTGTGAGGTACGATGGACAGGTTGTTTGGCTAACGAAGCGGTTCCCAATCTTGGAGAAAATTCTATCCAATTTTCAGGGGGACATTTGGAGAACACGCAGAGGCAAATGAAATCTTACTGTCCATAGGGGTTTATACTTGGCACCCAGATGTTAGGAAACTCGTGTGGAGGAAACATTCTGGAGCTGTAACACCTATTCGGTGTCTAGGCGCCATATCACATGCAGAAAGCACGAGGCTCAGATACTTCCTGCTTAAACAAACACCTATTCGGTGTCTAGGCGCCATATCACATGCAGAAAGCACGAGGCTCAGATACTTCCAAGTTGCTTAAACACGAGCAGTCGAGATATACAGATGTGTATGGACCTTGAGGCCACTAGTCTCGCGCCTTAACAACCGAGACATTTCGAGCTCTTGGCGAGTCCTAAGATGGTTCCCTAGGGAAGGGATGTAAAAACTGATGTCTTGCAAAGTTGTCCAGGGAGGGAGTATCCATAAGTTTATTCCCCATTCCTAAGTTGGGGAGATTAGAAAGTCAGCAAGTGGAGTGTTTTTCTCTGCTTCCAGCCGCGGTCATTGCAGCTACTTTATTCGGCAATGAAACCCGTAACAAATCACAGTTCTTCTACTGGACGCACTATTTCACCTCAATAAGACGAAACTGCACACACAAGGCCATACAAAAAAAATAAAGGAACAGGGCGTAAGATAAACGAATGACCCGGAATAACACTTGGACAGAGAGCAAAAAGTGGATGCTGTTTTCTGATCGGATAAATAGGTTAGAGAATCAGTCGTATACGACTGAAGATCGAAAGAGAGCAGTTGACCCGGTCGAATAAATTCCACTGTTGGACAGTGGTAAAAAAAAATCACCGTGGCAGATTTTATCTGGAGAATCAACAATGACTTCCTGTGCGGGTGAGATGACTCAGTGGCTAGAGCGCGAATTTACTGGCCGAAAGAAAGAAAAGAAAGCATTCAGCTGTAGCACCCTTCCGGTGCCTAGCTGCCATGCCACCCGAAGGAAGCACGAGGGCTGGGATACTGTCAGGTCGCCCAAGCCTAGACAGGGGAAGTCGAGTGGCGGAGGTCGGATTCGAACCACGGACCTTCCGGTCAGTAAATTCGCGCTCTAACCACTTGGGCCATCTCGCTCCCTTTACTGACCGGAAGGTCCTTGGTTCGAACCCGACATCTGCCTCCCGACTTCTCTTGTCTAGGCTTGGACAACCTGGCAGTATCCCAACCCCCGTGATTCCTCCGGGTGGCATGGCAGCTGTGCACCGAAAGGTGCAACAGCTGAACGATTGTTATTATTATTCCTGTGGATACTTTCCTTGAGACTGCATCTTCGATGGATCCACTACATGTGCATACATATCGTCAACGAGTACAAAAACAGATCTCGTTGCTTCTTCTGGACAATAACGCATTTGAAAACCACAGGACATCACTAGGAGCGTCGAATTGTTGCATGTCGCGCCATCTGCCAATAAGGCACCAGCATTTAAGAGAGAGAAGTCTGAGTTGTGAACGTTGCCGGGCTCAGTACCAAACTCTCCATAGAGACTATACTACGCTATCAAACCTTCATCGACAGAACGCAGCAAAAAAAATCGACAACATGAATAGCTCACCCATATCGATGATGTTTCGAAATACCGCATCTGGAGATTCGTCCGCAAATGGGGTACAACCAGTGAGCATTTCGAACAATATAATACCCAACGCCCACCAATCGACCGCCTCGGATTCCATCAACAATTCCCGTCCGTCAGCTGGGCAACTAAGCAGTTCGGGAGCAATGTATTCCGGTGTGCCCAAAAGTTGAGGAGTCACGGACAAGGCAGTACAACCAGCTGTGTCAAAACCGACAGTCCGGACATCGTACTCTCTGCAGGTCGGAACAACCGGAGACGGAGGTGGTGCGCACGGCTCGAAAGAGGACTGAGCGAATTTTACAGATGATGCCAGATGAGCTGGAAGTTCGCAAATAACACTGAGCGGAGTAGCAGAATTGGTGGACGAGCCAAAGTGTACGTTACTAATTCGGTTCGCAGTCGTGGTATGTAGATGGCGAGAAGGAATGTGCGATGAGGGCGTGTGAAAACCGGTCACAGGAAACGGCCGCGAATTCTCCTGATATTAGGATGTTTGAAAGTTCGGTGAAAAAGTGCAGTTGAAGGTTAATGAAGGTCATATGTGCCTGGGTCTACGAAAAGTTGCGCTAGGAAGTAAACGCGGTCGGATCAGTAATTCAAACGAAGCAGCTAATCGTGATTGAATTTAAAGAGATCCATCAAGAGCCGGTTTTCGACAAACTTCATTCAACATAACAAAACAACGTAATGAAACTGATTCCATCGGCTGAAACAACTATGGTAACTGCCCCAAGCGGGGACACCACTACGAGTGGTCCCCATCAATTAGTATCGATTCCTCTCAAAGCGTGAGGGGACGATAACGCATGGCTCAGCAGTATGCATAAGCAACTCAAGTGTGGCCTAGAGCAGATAGTTTGAAAAAGTAAGATGGGGCAATGTTGGTTATAAGAAAAGCTTTCTCAGAAAAAAAAATCAGTCATATGGCTGTTTTCATCCAGAATTCACGATCGGGTCTTTGGAGGTGTGGGCTTATCAGACTAGACCAACTAATCGGCTTTGTCAAATCTCGTTCGGGTTTTAGGACACTCTTGAATATGAGCGTCCTTGGCCTATACGGCAATGAAACAGCGGTGTGAATATTGCTGTTGCCAATATTGATCATACTGGTGGTAACGACGAGGAATACGACTCGAAAATGCAACTGAACCATTCGCATCGTGAAGTCTACATGTTCGAATGTCCGGTAAAGCCTGGTACCAGCGTTACAACCCTCCAAAAAATATCATGCAAAGTCTGAGAATCGACCACATAAAAACCGTTCAACTTGACTGACACATCATCTTACGCAGGAAGTGAAACACTGCCCCACATTCACTTTACCTGCTGCGCAATGCGAACTAGTTTAATGCCCTAGGCTGCCCAGAGACATACAAGCACTTTTTTCCCAAAACATCACCGAAAACACAAGAATGAGTACTGAAACAGCGGGTCTCTGTTCGCGTCGTTGATGTGGGACCACAAGAATAGTGCAACCTATGAAGCGATAGACGGAGGAGAGGCCCATCAATCAGGCTAGTATTAAATTGTGAACCAGTCCTATGAATAACAATTTCATAAAACACATGTAAGTGAAGTGTAAACGAGGGCACACTCAGTGTCACACGGAAAGATGAAACGTCCTCTAACAGGAAATGACAAATGTTTACCATGATATGAACGACGATGACAAGGGAGTTCGCTGCAAAAATGAAACGTCACAACGCACTCAGCAGTCAGATTGGTCAGAGGGATAGAGGAAGGCCGGAATCCGAGAGAGTAAAGCGATGCGGATGGAATGTCATTGTGAACATCAAATTGAACGACCATGATCTGCTTCAGAGGTGACATTTATTACTGCATGCAGTGTGTATTATATATATATATATATACTTACATATATACAAATATAGCTATTTATATTTTTCCACCAGAAGGTCAGAGTTGAGGATCACCAGTAGTCAACAAATGGGGATGGTCTTGGCACACTTTGCCTCTCACAGGTGGCAGTTTCTCTTCAGGGCACCGCACACAAAGTCGAGATTACAGACAAGAGTAACCTCGATAGACACCGATTCGGTTTTCACGGAAGACTGAAACCTAAAACCCAACTGAATCACTCTTTATGATTGTCGGATTTCGTGCGATTTGGAGAACATAAGGTATATGGAACTTCGGGGACTGTCTATACCCAATAAGAAGGGCGAAACCGTTTGTGGGCTGTCGGAGAGTTTTCACAACCTTATGAGTAGTCTGTTAAGTCTATACCTCTATATCCTCCTTTACGGAGGTCCCGACTGGAGGTTTCTGTATACGGGGCTCAAAATAGGGCTTAAAATCAATTAACGGTAATGTAAGTTGCTAAATATCTTCATTTATCTAGAAAATAAAGGCAGTTTTCCCCACCTTCTGTCCTGTGTGCGAACGATGTCGTGGAAGGACACGAGGAGTGCGCAACGGAGTGTCTGCGGCACGAAATGAAGAACTTGTGGGATAAAGCATGTATGGGTGCGCCGGGTCAATGTCGGCCAAATTCATCCCATCTGTAACAGGTCAGAAAGAAAGAACAAAAATATTGAAATGCGGCTGGATAAGCGGTTTCATTTTGAATTGAACTAGATAGTGTAAAAATCCCTAAAAAAAAGTACAACTGAATTCAAGGGAAAAATGTGAGAGATGTTACTGATTTTCGAAACACGAAGCACATTAGGTTTCCGGTCCTTATACTGGCCCATCATGTAGGATCTGTCAGACAGTGTTGCCGATCCAAGGACTAAGTGTCCCCCAACCGACATGCACACTCCGGGGAACAGAAAACTTCGTAAGACTGAGCGCTTTGGGGCCTGACCACAACCTCCACGATAGATTTTGGTTTAATAGTGTTTCATTTGTGATTGGTTGAGTCATTCAGCTGTGACACTCATTCAGGGTCTGGTTACTATGCAATGCACGGAAAACACGAAAGCTGCAATACTGTTCAAGCCTAGACGGAAGCAATTAGAAAGCTACAGCTGATTCCAACTATGAACCTTTCAGTCAACAGCTACGAGTCTTAACTCACATCACACGAAAGCAAGTTCATACTGAGAACGCAAACTGGATGGTAGACCGCGCAGTCTCGGCTGAAGGAAGAGCGCGCAGAAAATCAGTTAACTATACACATACAATGAAGAACTAGACTATCACCCGGTTACCAAGGTAACCATCGCCTCCAGTAACACCATCTCAACCATGGTAACCACACCAAAACCGAGCTAGCATTGCGCATTCTCGCTCTTTTCTGGGTCATAACAATGGTAACTGCGCAATGGAATGAAAGTGGCGCCGATGGGCACAAGCGCGTAGAGATGCACAGAGCGAATCAGCGAATGTGGACGGAAGTGCCTTCATAAGCAAAAGGTAAACCTTAAGGCGATCTTGGCTCATCGTCACCAATGGCACAAGAAGAGGTTGATGAGAAGTACGTAATTCACTCCTGCATAGCCACGACTCCCAACCAGTCACAGTAATGCATGATTGTGCGGTGGTTTTTGAGAGCTGTTTAGATGAACTGAAGAGACTAAACTGGTGATAACTATCACAGTAGCTCATCTGGTCTAACGGATAGAGAAACTAGCGAATCGAACCGATAGAATAATTGGGTATGAGGTGCCAATTCATCTGTTGCAGGTTTTCACTTTCATTGAGCTTACAACAAGTGCCGTCAGAATTCGATGATAGCAGAAGTTATAACGCACCAGTAGTGCGGAATGTCCACTTTTGCAACAGTATGAGTAAAGTCACTCGACTAACTCTAGTTCTCAGACAAAATCAAACCGAGTAGGACAGATTCTTCCGGTCACCAATGTTCGAATACCGACAGTGCTGCCTCACGGACAACAAGGTAAAAGCGCAGGGGGAAACTACCGAGGATTCCTAAATGAATCTAGTTACTGAAACAGTCCAAAGCTTCGACGATCAAGAGGCCGACCTTTTATTGCTCGACTATGAAATGAGAACCGACAGCGCCCGAAATCACCATCCCACTGTGAACAAAGTTAGCAGATGACTTAAACAAAATTCAACTGCCTTGCCTAAAGAGAAACCGCAGTGTTACCACAGCAACGGCGAACGGACCAACAACCAAGGATTCTCATCATGAGTAAAGTTCTACTTCGGGATTCCGACACATTTGGTGTTTCCAAATGATTACCTACACCGGATTTTTGACCGACTGGAACATCATCGTGCCATTGAAGAAGTTTTCGTTCGTCTTCGAGGAAAGGTGGCGTCATCTGATGCTGGGATCATAAGCTATGAGAAGTAACTACACTACTACTGTAACAGTGATACTACTGATTAGGAGGCATGCGAGTAGTATGTTTTGTTCTTGTAAATTCGCTTTGCGTCTCTTAAAAAGGGAGATCTGTTGCGGAATTTGTGGAGTCGCTTTGTAGCATTTGCTTGGATCTGAGCAAATAATGATTGGAGTCAATGAATATCCAGGAAAGTTCAAGAAGACGCGTTCAGGAGAAGATGGATGTCCAGTTTTTCTGAATAAGATGCAAATGATAGTTTTGCTTCTCTGTAAGTGGTCAGTTGGCATTTTCTAATATATAACTCCGCAGCGAAAGCCTTCTTCCTTTCACTACTACTACACCGTTGGCAGTTGATTTACTTGTTTTCAAAAACTGAGTATGAATGACTTTGCTAACTGATACTCGCAAATACAAGAGAAGTGTTCTTCATAAGCAGCATTGGAACTGACCGACAGCCTATCACATGCTTCATCCTGTTTTCAGCTCACCAGGTAGACAGAGACCTTTGGGTCATGCTTAGCTGGACTTCAAATTGCCCCGTCAAGTTGGATGAGGCTTCATGCACCCTAAGCGGGGTCTTCAGTGTATGTCCAGTGAATAATCCATTCACGAAATGGGGTGCTGACGAGGAACTCGAAAGAATCACTTCCTGATGATATTCTTCAACAGAATGTGCAGTCCAACGTTCGCATGGGAGTGTTGTTGGGCGGATAATAAAAGTTCAGCAGTATTTCTCCCCTTCAGGAATTGAAAAAAACTAAGACCTGACTAACGACACACCTGCCTAGCACAATAACAGCAGTCTGTCAGTACGAATTCGATAGCAGGCCGGACGTTGATACCTATCCTGACAGTAGAGTGAGGTCCGGAATGTGTTGAACTGAGAATCCCAAGTACACCAATGCACTTTGTATATCGGGACAATATCATCACTTGGCCATTTGTGAGGGTAACACGAGAGACTCTATTAGGCAGAGGTCGGCGAATCAGCTGTGAAGTTCAGGTGCCTAAGCGTGACGGAGAGCAAGCATCTTTGATAGCTCACTGAATTGAGAACTGTCTAGTAAGCGGGAGTTCGGTCCTCAGATATGTCTTTTCGTTCACTCTACGTCTACCTGGACTTCTCAGCTTGACATCCGTCTAGACGTAAGACTCTTGTTAGCATTGAAAAAACGTCGAACGAAATCGATCACACCGGCAACTTGAGCGCTTGAACACCATAAACGGGGGATCATTTTGAGCTTCAGGCGGACATCAGCTCCACTTGCGAATGAGTGAGTTATTCAATATGAAAAACTTTCTTTTTGGCTACAGTGGCCGAACAACGCTCGGGAATTACGTGGGCCTAGAAGGTCAGTACCTTATATGGGAGCAAGAAAAGTACGAAATGTATTCATTCGATGTCTGATTTTTCGCCCCGTTTTAACCAAGAACAGACGAGTTTTAGCCATGGTTTCAACGGCACCCAATCCCCCTAATCTCTCGGTATTAGAGTGAAATTTAAAAATACAAGAGAAAAGCATAAAAAGACTCACACTGGAGATCCTCAGCGCTCAGCCGCGCAGGAGAGTAGAGCTGCTGGAGACGAGTCTTCTCCATCGAAGATAGAGGCACATCAGGAGGTGTTCGTTGTTGTCTGAAGTTCAACAAAAGTAAGGGGAAGCGTACATGCAGGACGTGGAGCGGTATGAAATGTACAAAATGCAGTTTCGCCTCTAGTGAGCGGTAGTATTTCGAAAGTTTGAGCAGTAGCATATCGTCAAGTTGAGTGATCGAATAACTGAATAAGTGGTACACTCGACGTGCAAACAAGTCGCAGGCGCGCGAGGGAAAACAGTATCGTGAACTTAAATTCGATTCACTTCATCCGTACATCCAAGAAAGACGAGTCTTTGTCATAATAAACTGTGTTGGGGAGGGACATCGGTGGACGCTGAACTGCGCGGGCAAATGATACTTCCAGGTTGCCCAGGCCGAGGAAGGGGGTTTGGTTGAGGTACCCCACCTTGAGCCTTTGACTCAAAAGTCTGACCCACGAGGCAGTGGGAGAATGTGGGGTTTTGTTCGGGGATCCTGACCCTAGTCTTTGACTCAAAAGTCTGACCCACGAGGCAGTGGGAGAATGTGGGGTTTTGTTCGGGGATCCTGACCCACTCAACAGTCTGACCTGCTCGGCTGCAGGGGGTTGGCCTAACCCGAGGGCGCAGGGAATAAGGCATTACTGTTTCATTCCTAATGCGGCTGCGCACAGCAAGTGCCTATTGAGCAGCACCGGGCTCTTTGGTTCTGAAAGTATTTCGACCGTATCGGATAATGCGCCGGCGGTTACGGTCAACCGTTGGGCGATCGGAGTGTGCGTAGTAACGTAGTAACCCCCTGTCCTTTAAGCAGCGATGGGTTAGTTGCTGGCTGAACTCGGAATCCCAGTCCTCTAGATTTCATCCAGATTTACCCTGCGAAATTCGGTCCTCAGAGTTCAGTGGATAAAAACCTTTCCAAACCTTGAGTTGGATGTGACTTTTGGACACAGTTTGCGGAAACACCTAACACTAACCCGTATACCCACCGGCTTCTTGTTTTCAGATGGTCGATTAGCCCCATTTCCGTCTCATTTGGACGCAACGGTGGCCTATCCAGAAGGGGTAACTAAACCCTTGCACTCACTCTGCGAAAAATTCGGTTACAACAGAACTATCGATGGTGACTGTAACCAGTTAATTCAGTTGGCTCGTTTGCATGCAGAAACTGCACAAAAATCAAAATACACGCCACAGTCCAAGTTACAAAATACAATGGGTCCCAGAAACACCGAGGGGGGGCGTACGGTGTGCATCCTAAACAGAACAAATAGTGGTTGTTTAGTCCGTCAAATAACGAAACGAAGGGAGTAATAATTGATCTTTAAACTGCACCGAATAAAGCGTAACACACATTACACAAGCACAATCAGTGTGTTAGGGAGCAAGCACCAGCTGTCAATTGAGATGCGGTGAAAATCAACATTCAAGTCTCGGTTGAGCTGTTGGTTGGAATCTGAAATAATTGCAACAGCAGGACCAGAAACATCGGAATCAACCGATTACACATTCTTTTGACCCAAATGAATGATGGAAACGAGATGACGAGCGGAATCACACTCAACAACGGCTGTTTTCTCTTGAAAGAACCTACTCACAGGTTGCTGAAATCCGTCGACAGCCCACAACCGGTTTCGCCCTTCTGTTTCGGGCTCATCAGGTAGGCGCAATTTCCGTCAACCTTACGTTCTACTTGAACCCAAATCGGACTGTTTTCGAGAAGTACGCTCATTTTCAAATCAACTCGGTTTTCACGCGAGACTCAACTGAATCACTCGTTTATGATATTCTACAACTGAATGTGCTGCACACAGGCCGCCCCATGCTTCAGTTGCACGATATTCTCCCTGGTGGTGATATGGTTGCATATGTTATATATATGTATATGTATATACCTTATACGGTTGAAATTTTGCTTCCGCACCAGCCCACTGAGCTCGACAATAGTGATGACCACACACAGCACCACGTGAGAGCGTAAAGTACAGTGGATGGATCGTGACCTGACTGTTTACAAAGGAGTAAGCAGCTGATTTTCTGTGGATTTGATGCGAAATTTGCACTTTACATTGCGGGCAATCAATGATTAGGAAACCACCATTATCCGTCAGTTCACTTGAAAAGCGTATCAACTTATGGACCAAGGCAAAGCTTCACAATGTTTCGGGGTTCCTATGATCAAAAAGCGTATCAACTTATGGACCAAGGCAATGGTTCGGGGTTCCTATGATCGGGGCACAAAGTTCAGACGCCATCCACTGAAAGTACATTCACCTGGAGTACGGACGAACAGTCATCACTCGGTGAAATCCCAGACCAAGCTGCATTAGGCGAGAAGACTACTGAATTGTTCGAAAGCCGCAAACCAATGGGGACTTTCACAACCGACGAAATATGCTTTTTCCGCACTATGGGTGACAGGAATCTGGTTGTCACGCGACACATATCAGTTGGTCTAAAGAGCTGAAGGAAGACAAGGTCATCTTTTAGAAAGCGTGCTTCCACGATTAGTGGTGCAAGACATACTGTTGAGATGGCAGTGGCTGCGTGCGGGAATGATGCCACACGGTTAATTTCTACAGGGAATTCCTCTAGATTGCCTCTAGACGGGAGTTGGAGGAGGTGGAATGAGGACGTCGGATTTGAAGACATGCCTTGCCGGAAAACCACCGTGGTCCTGTTTTTGAAGCGGAAATCGCCTGAAATTAGTTCTTACCAATCTTATTATTCTGGATTTTGTTGTTCCCCGGCTAGTTGGCTTTGGTGGTTGACGATGAGGTGTATAATCAAGAGATCTGCGTTGGCACTACAAGATAAGTTGAATACCGCCAGGGCTTGCTAGGAAAATACGACAGCTTGTTGCAGTTTGTTTGTGTCCCCGCTGCAATCCTTTGCAGCGGTTATGTAGGACGACTTGCATTTTTGAAGGAGCTGAACTAAGTAGATGAACATCGCCCGCATACTCAACGTTTGTGAGCATTTCGACCCCCGAGGTTTCAGGGGCAGGTACTGAAATTTCAAGCAATATGACAATAACAAAGTTGGACAGGAATAGTGAGAACAGCCGTCTCCTGAACCACTGGATTTGAACAAAAGTGAATGGGTGCCGCATACCCTCAGGCTTTCACAGAAGTTGGCATACAAGGACCTGTCTGAAAGTAAGGATACAGTCAGCACATTCTCGGCCTGGGTCTCATTCCCGCGAATGCGCATCTCCCGACAATTGATCAATATCCGCAAAATAATGCCCAGGCAGGGCAGGATACAAGGATCTTCCTATCTTGTGCCACTTTTGAGGACTGGAATGATAGTCAAGGCGCGCCACTCCACCAGTGTGTTGTTTTTGCTCCAAATCATCTTCCAGCGTCCCCTACCATACTTCCAACTATTCATTATCTGACGTCTGAGAGTTGTGTGCTTGTGACCATAGCAGATAGTCGCTGGGGTTAAGATGGATCAGTGGGTAGAGCGCGAATTTGCTGACTGGAAGGTCCGTGGTTCGAACCCGACCTCTGCCTAGGCTTGGGCAACCTGGCAGTATCCCAGTCTTCGTGCTTCCTTCTCGTGGCATGGCAGTTAGGCACCAGATAGTTGTTGACATGAACAGGATCTGTCGACTGCAGCACATCAGTTCAGAGGTTAACAACATCAGCAACAACACGTCTCAGCCCGACTTCGTCAGCTTAAAGCCGAATTTAACAACCGCATGTGAGATGTAAAAGAAACGATTGGGATCTGGTCATGTATACGATTACCTAAAAGTCCTACCGAAGTGAATGGCGCTACCGACCGCCGAAAATGCGCAAACTAATCATTACTTGGCCTTTCATGGTAAATTCGTCAAAATACCTCAAACACCGGTTTTAGTGTGAACAGAAACTTGAATTTTTTAATATCTGAAGGATGACGCAATACTTGTAGGCTATGAGACTGCATCTCTCAATACCAAGTGACCTGTAGTAAGCCACCTACCTAATAAGCAATATGATACCACCCAAGAGTGAGCAAAGTTCAACTTATAAGGTATCCGAATCGTACCTATGTTAAACAATATCCATGCGCAAAAACACGCTTTGTAATCAGATGGGCGGGACCGCAGCTAGTATCCTGCTGCAAGAAAACCATTTCTGATTCATCTATGGTCGGACAGGACATAAAATTTATTGGACATCACCTCATCATGACATCCGTGATTCTGAAACGACATTACGCTGAGCCTCTCCCATAAATTCTCATCAGTCGACGTCGTGACCTTTCACTCACCATTTAAACCTAACGTGACAACATAACGTTATACTCCTTGCATTACTTTGTTGCAATAGGACCGGAGAAAATCTTGGCTTGACCGGCCCTCGTCCTATGAAGACAAAAGTGGTCAAAAAACTCTACTCAGTCGAGTAACGCAGCTATGTTCTCAGAGGCAGCGGAAGAATAACCAGACTGACTTAAGCTGATATCGTGAGGAATCTTTCGCCCCAACCAGCGCAAACTACAGACAGGCACACATTAGTCCGTATTTTCCACAGAACAGAACAATACCCAATCGAAGTCATGAGTCGGCGCTACATGAAGACTGTCTACATAAACGAAACGACCGGATACCCCAAGAGAACAGTGAAGTTTATCTATCGCTCGAAATATAGTGATTGCGATGCACTGTAAACTGGCCAGACAGGTCATTAGTTGAACACACGTATCAGCGAACAAAGACCGAAAGCAAGATCAGGACCACACATCAAAGCCGGAGACGACTAGCAAACTACTCCCCAAGGCTTAGCCGAGGATCCACTCTACCTCTGATGAAGTCGAATTACAGCAGCATGACTTGAGTAGTACACCGTATGCCTTGATGCAGAAAGCTGTTTTTTCTTCGGGCGGAATGGCATCTAGGCACCGAAAAGGTGTTACAGCTGTAAAAATGTCAAGATTGAAATGCTCGTCAGGGCATTCAGCTAAAATCGGGACCGATGCTGTTAAGTCCGATGTAAGATATCCAAGTCCAAGTCCGGAGTTCAAACGTGGTTCATACGGCTGATTCTCGTTAACCAAGGGATACGGATTGGATGTTGAACAAGAACGCTCGTTTATGCATAGAACCGAGCTGAGCGTATGACATTTTGGCCTCCTCTGAGGGAGGTTGTAAGGAAACCGTGCGCCTCTAATCACTCGAGAAAACTTCCACTGGAAAACTTGTGTTGGGACACATGCGACAGTGCCCAAAACATGGGATATTTAGGAGTACCAGTCTATTACGCTGAAAAGGCAATAGAAGCATAAAAAATGCTCAGTCCGCAGCGATCAGTCACACGGTCTATTTAGAGAAACTCTACGCCTGTGGCGTGTGGTAACAAAGAAAAAATCGTTCAGATGTAACGACCTTTCACTGCCTAAGCCATGCCAACTGAAGGAAGCACGAGGGTCGAGTTACTTCCAGGTTGCCCAAGCCTAGACAGGAGAAGTCGGGATGCAGGGGTCGCGTTCGAACCACGGACCATCCGGTCAGTGAATTCCCGCCCTAATAACTAAGCATAAGCCGTAGAAAAGAAAACCGCACAAAATCAAATTAAAATATCTCATTCCATCACATGCTACGTGGACGATCGATTCAAATATTACTGGTCAACATCAAACGTGATTCACTGCGCACATGCTTACTGTTGGATGGTGTTCTCCTAAAGTTGTACTCCTTGGTGAAGCCAAAAGTTGAAAAATGGTGGAGAAATTACCAGCACTGATATCGTGCTTGCCGTACAAGGCCGCTCACAGTCACTCGGGGCATTCGAATTTGAAAGGGACTGGTTAATTAGACGGACACTTCAGGGACATTCGGTGTTCAAAAGAAATTGAATACTAGACCCGAAAGACGTCAGTGATATGATTTTTGTGGGCAAAAGGTTGAAGGGAATTCAGCGTACTACTGTTCATTCAGGCAAGAGGTCTACAACTCTTACTGGTCGGGTGTGATATCAGACCAGAAATCCGCCTTGAACGTAGTTCATCTTGCCTCGCTCAGATGACTTCAGGAAACTTTCGCAATTAACAGTAATTATTACGTAGTGAAAATGTGAAGCTCTTCAAGACCGTGAAAAGGGGAAGATCAGACGACCGGAAAACTCTTGAAATGCTAAATGACTGAAATCCAAACTTGGAACTTCGAGAACAGTTCAGCTTCAAAATCATACGACATTAAATGTGAAGAGTCAAGCCAACCAGAGATCCCTGAGATCGCCAAAAAAGTGACAAACGTCCCATTCTCAGAGAGGACGGGACTCCAGCACTGATCGAAACATTTCAAATGTTGTTTCCTTATTACCTGAGCAATAAAACTGACGACAATTAAGCGGTTCTTACAGTTGCTGATGATATTGCTCAGCAAAACGTCAAACAAACTTTGTTGCCGATGAAAATGCAACGTCCTGTCGAGCTACAAAGTACGGGAGTCAGCAAAATACCAGAATTCTGCTGCGCACTGAGTAGGGTTTATAGGCCTCATATTGGAGGCTTTCATCATCATCATCACTGACGGCTGTAATAACCGCCTACTCGTCGTACAGTGGTTGTAGCTGCCGCAGTTTCGTTCACCGATGATTTGGGAGAGGGGGTAGGTAGCTGCACATTGCAGGCGGGAGCTGATAAACTGGTGCATAAATCCAGCACTGTCAGTGGGCTGTCAATTGGGGGGTTGGAAAAGGAGCTATGCATTGAAGGCAATAGCACAAGCGCCATTGAGGGCGCGACTGGGCCATGTCTGACAATGTCTCTAGCCATTGATGTGGCCCGTCCCACCACCGATATTGAAGCTTTAACATTTGGAGTCACAACACACCCATACTATGACAACTGTAATCCAGTCTGTTGATCAACAAATATGACGGGCCAACACACTTGGATACTGAACCAAATCAAATCGTGGCAGATTTGAGAGCAGCAGTTGAAACAAGCAGCAGTTAGACAAAGAGACACACCCGAAGCGCTGTTCCGTGGCCGAAGTTACAGCAGACACACCACCAGAGCGCAGATGAAGCTGGACCAGCTCGTGACGTAACGGAGAAATAGTCAGTCGAGGCGACTCCTCCAGATGAACGAAAGCGTTGGATGATTCAGACTGTGAAGGCGTAGTGGTCTGGAAGAAAACAAAACGTTAAATTCGCAGTTGGGCAAAGTTAAATAGAAAACCGGATGCAGCATGAAAAGTCAAGCAAGGTGGAAGCATTGTTTCATGCAGAAGAGTGTGAATTTAACTACGACCAATGTAAAACTACCCATATTTGCACTGGGGGCCATCAAAACTATCTAGTCCACATGTTGGATGTATGTGAAAGATGTGACGGGTAGGGAAAAGATAATGTTTACCAAGTGAAAGTTGAACGACGAATGGTGGTGAATGCTTGAGCGATATTCATGGTCATTGTAGACCAAGGAGGAGCTGCTTGGAGATTCAATTACTACGGTTTAGTGTTTCAGTCACTCGAGAAAGGTTGATGTTTCAGAACCGGTGGTCTATCTTTTCTTGTCTCCACATGTTCATACGACATCTCGACAAAATTCTCAAAATGAAGTGACAGCAATCTTCGAATGTGTCAAGAGGAATGCGACAACGTCCCTATATTAAGTTAAGGTGTTCTAATTCGGAGAGATGCACCAACCTCAAAACATCTTGAACTGATATCGAACCATTCTTTCATTCCCGCCGAAACACTTTGGGGTACCTTTTATTTCACCTGAAGCACTCTGTCGAGACGAAATCCCCGGGCGTTCCAGCATGAAAATGGCATAGTTTGACCTAACCTGTCGTAATTCTACGCAGCGTTAGATAGCTTCAGTGATACAAATTTAGCTCGTTTATGGGAGAGGAAGGAATGTGTCATCGAAATGATACCGGGAGCGAGTTAGGATTCACGCGCAACTGCATGATGGAGGCGTCGGACTGACCGCGTGTGACACCGTTACTATGACACCCACAGGGCTACGTGATAAGGTGCACCATAGTTATGCTAATCAGCATTTTCTCTCTCACTTACGGATATATGTGAATGGGTCTCATCCACAGATAAGCTGAAGCCCTCTTTTTGCCAATCCATCCCGCAGTCGACGTCACGTTCGGGAGAACGCGGTAAAGGAGGCAAAGTGGCACGCTGAGCAAAGGAAAGACAGGTTGGACAAGATATAGCGGGAGAATGGAAAGTCATCACTATGTTCAAACATGAGTATGTCTTCCCAACTTGAGGCAGTCTCCATGTACCTCAGGTGTATTACCTTTTCAGTACCTAGCTGCCATGCCACCAGAAAATAGCACGAGGACTGAGACAATGCCAGGTCACCCAAGCCTAGACAAGAGTAGTCAAGATTCAAAGGTCGGGTTCAAACCAAGGACGTTCCGGTCAGTAAGTTCTCGCCTTATCTACTGAACAATTTCGAGTAGAATTTCTCCAAACATGAGTGCGGCATCTGTGATAGTCTAAAGGTGATAGTTAAGAGCGACATGGGTAAAATCAGTTTCTACGTGGTCCGTCACTGGAGCTGGCTGGCATAGTGTCGCGATATGTGCGTATCTGGCAGCCGAAGGCCGTACCCGAGAAGTGCGCATCTGAAAGGTTACCGAGGAAAACCAACCCTGTCTCAGAAAATAGCCGTCCGAAAACGAATGAAAAGAAGTAAGCGTGGGGATTCGATCCCCCCCCCCCCCCGAATTGTGGTGGGCACCGAGTTCCAATAGAATGAAGGGCGTTAGCTGTACGATTTCGGCCAACTAGAGCATACCTGTACCTTAACTTGCCTTTTTCGAGGTAACAGAAACAGCTGTTTCTCAGGATTATTCGAGACACATGATTATGGGTTCGGCATATAACACTGAAAATCATATTTGAATCATTCAAAATTCTCCCTCTGATGGTTGCCCCGCTGCAAGCGACAGAAAGTGTATGCTCAGAGGTCCCACGGGGATCATAACGGCCCGTGAAAAACGGCTAGAGCCGTAGCACTCAGGGTCTGGTGCCACCAGTGCTTCACATTATTTGGTACAGTGTCTAACATAAGCATTAAATCGATTCCAAGAGGCGGTGAACGAGGGAGATGAAATCATAAACGCGTTCCTATCAATTACATTACAATTTTGAGATGGATGTTAAAGAAACTGGTCTAGGCCGACGTCACAATGAGTGAAGTACAAATCCCTGACTCCTAGTGCACACAACAGCTGAGTTTTGAGCAGCACGGCACAGATAGCTTTCATAAATATTTCTACCGTATTAGGCTGCGGTCACCTTCTACGTAGGGCCGACCACTCCCAACCCACTCATCCAGGGTAGAATATGGTATCGTTGCCTCCATACATACAGAGATACTCGTCATCTATGACAAACACCTCGATGTTTTTACAGTCGACCTTAACCTCAGATCGCTCCGCACCACACCTGATCGCAGTACGTATACTCGTCGCCCTGTCTGGAGCTTTCTCTTTCTTAGGCATCGTGGTATGAATAAATCCTGATGGAAAAAAGTTCATCCAGTGTAACAAAAAGAATCTTTGTAGCACTGAAACCAAAACAAATAACTCTAGGGTGGACGTGCTGGTTTACCGATAGAGACTGCCGTGAGACAGGTTCAGGGGGTAGTTCAAATACCTAATTCCGTGAGACGAATACGTATATTTCGCGTATTATACGATGTACTGCTTTATATTGCATTACATATATTACGAATGATGCATTGAGTTATATTTATACTATACTATATAAATATGTACTATATATACTATATATACTACATATGTATACTATATATATAATGTTGTTCGGCACCATTTGAAACACGGCTCTCGCAAAATGAGCAATAAACACGGGATGTCACAAGGGTCCATAATATTGGTATATCAGACGGTTATTACACCTCGGTATTCGATCACAAAGCAAAGCGAAGATAGGAAGGTTAGTTTTCAGCTTGTCGTAATGTATGCCGATGAAATGCAAGGTCAGTGTTTGGAACTGGTTGAATCTGGCCTGACTTACTGACATCAGTGTTCCACGTTCGCAAAATAAGAATAATCGATCTGTGCTCGAATTGAGAATCCTACTTGATTTGGAACTGGAGCGAACAGTTCATGAGGATACATGATCGGATAGGATTTGCCTGAGATACATTTATAGAAGAACTTGACTTTCGTGGACTGAGATACTGTCAGATTCCCCAAGCCTAGATAGGAGTAGTCGAGACGCAGAGGTTGGGTTCAAACCACGGACCTTCCGGTTGGTAAGTTGCGCCTTACCCACTGAGATATCTCAAACGCCTGAAACCATTAGACAATATTGAAAATGCACATCGGTAGAGATGAACTCCACCTTTGTACGTTCCGGCCCACTATAATTCCTATTACAAAAAATTTTTTTGCAATAAGTGGTGAATAGTGAACTACAAGTGCTAAATTCTCAGTTTCCTTTTGACGGGTTGGGCATTGTGTCCGGTGATCTATTTTTAAAGTACTAGAATGGACTAGACTGAAATTCGCCACATTAAGAAGGAGACTAATTTTCCGGAGCTTCATCCGGTGAAAGTTCGTAACCGACTGAAGTGAAGATACTGCCGAAGTGCATTAAGTAAATCCACAGCGACAACTGCAGTCTCCATGGTACATCTCCTCACTCACTATACAGAGTGAAGGGCAGGTGGGTAAACAAGTATCTACTTCACGAGTCGAGTTTGGGAAAGAGGACGTAGAACAGCCTACGGCCCTTCTTTTTCACTCCGACTTAATAATAATTGGAGAAGAAATCGTTTTGTGAATAAGCTGTCTTCAAAATCTGGGGAAGAGTTTGTCGCCATGTCGTTCAATCGCCCTTGATAGACGATGGAGCCCAGATGAATTTCTCAACGTACAGCGAGCCTATCTGATTCGGTGGGAAAGCAGTTGTACCGGAAGATGTGACCTGACGAAATAGCATCCAGAGCACAGTTACGGGTAGTTTTCAGTAAATTCAAGTGTAAGGAAAGTACAAATCAACCTTTAGTTAAAACGAATGGCACAGAAGTCGCACAAAAATTCACAGAAATAAAAAAGTTGTCCGTTACCCGGAGTGCGTCTCCGGCGTGGGGCTGGGGATCCTTCAGAAATGTTGGCGACCACGGGAGATTGTACAAACGGCGTCCACGCCTCATACGATACGGTTTCTTAATTTCTGGTTGACAATAGCTTTTGCATCGACGAAGTGGACCGATACCGGTAGACGAGGTAACCATGGACCGATGGTAACTGATACTGCCAGCTAATCGGCTCGTCACGGGCGGAGATATGGATAAGGGCATTGAGGACTGTCGAACCAGTAGACCAACGTGAAGGATTTGCGGAGGAGAGAACTGGGAAAAGGGCGAATTAAAGATGGGAAATAATTGTTCAGTCAGAACAGGTGCAGTTCGTCAGACGGTTGATAGATGGTGAAGTAAGAATACTACCGGAGAAGTTTTTACAACCACCAGAAATGCCATTTTAGCAGACTATAAGACTAGCGACAATGAATTTGAATGTCACAAATGTTGAACGGCAAAATGTTCGCGGAGCCGTTGAGAGCTCTGTCACTCCAGTGATGAATAAAATCATGGTCGCTAGATATTTGAAACATGTCGAAATTAAATCACTTTCGGAGCTAATAGGGCAGAGAAAACCCTAAATGTGGTTGAAAGTTGTATGGTGAAAAAGTAGTCAGCTACGAGACCCTAACCTGATAGACACAGCGAGGGGAGACGATCAGTGACAGTAAACAA